GAAAAGGAGAGAGGAGAAAGGGCGGGGGGGAAGATGGGAGGATGGGGGAGGGGAGAGGGGAGAGAGGGTGATGTAAGGTTGAGGTGGAAGCAAGGACGAATGTGTTAGTGAGTGAGGTGTGCAAGTCCTTGAAGGAGAGGAGTGGTGGAGTGGAGTGGAGTGGAGTGGAGTGGAGAGGAGTGGAGAGGAGTGCGTCCATGAGCGGCGGGCAATCAACAACTGGCGTGTTTGGCTGTGGCATGGTAACTGAGAGGTGTGCGTACAGCATCTCAAGCGAGGAGAGGGCACCAATGGATGAGGGAATGGAGCCCGAGAGCTGGTTCTGATTCAGAACCCTGCAGGATACAAGCCAGGGGCGTACAAGCCCAGATGCAGCGTGGGGGAGAGGGGCGGGGAGGGGTGTGGGTGGTGGGAGGAGGGAGGGGCTGTGGCGGGGGGACGGGGAAGATGGGGGTTGAGTTGGAGAAAGAGAGTGGGATTAGTGTGTGTGGGTGTGATATAGATAGTGGACAGAGGAAGATACGCAACAGTACAACAGCAGAGAGCAGGGGTGAGGTGAGGTGCAATTGGAGGTTGTAGGCGTGGTTGCCAAGAGGAAGGATGAGGTACAGTGGAAAATGTGTGCGTGAGAAATTAGGTGGATGGGGGAAGGGGGAAGAGGAGGAGGAGGAGGAGGAGGAGGAGGAGGAGGAGGAGGAGGAGGAGGAGGAGGAGGAGGAGGAGGAGGAGGAGGAGGAGGAAGAGGACGAGCATCAGGAAGAGGAGAGGAGAGGGGCGCATACAGGTTCTTGAGTGAGGAAAGGCCTCCAAGCACATCTGGGATGGAGCCCACGAGCTGATTCTCCGACAGGTCCCTGGCAGGGAGACAGGTGGCAGCCACGTGGGGACGCGGAGAGTGGGAAAGAACGGGAAGAGGAGAAGAGGAGAGGAGAGGAGAGAAGAGGAGCGTGAGTACAGAAGAGAAAGAGAAGACTAGCAGGGACAGGTGGGGGATGGGGAGTGGGGAAGAGAAAGAGATGGCTAGCAAGGTGAGAGGAAAAGAGAGCATCGGGATGGGAGGCTGAAGGAGAAGCAGGCAGGCTGATAAAGGCAACATGCACCAACACCTGCAGGGCAGCACTTGGAAGGGAGACATTACGGCATGAGAGTGTAGCAGCGTGACTGAGCCGCAGAGTGCAGCAGAGTGGCAATGCAGCAGAGTGGCAGTGCAGCAGAGTGGCAGTGCAGCAGAGTTGCAGTGCAGCAGAGTGGCAATGCAGCAGAGTGGCAATGCAGCAGAGTGGCAGTGCAGCAGAGTGGCAGTGCAGCAGAGTGGCAGTGCAGCAGAGTGGCAGGTGGGTGTGTGTGGTGGAGTGGAGGGAACGTACAGGCCAGTGAGCTTGGAGAGGGATCCGATGGCCGGTGGGATGTTGCCAGAGAAGTTGTTCTGCCTCAGCTGCCTGCTCACAGCACAGCGGCGCAGCGCACGATGGAGAGACAGTACGGGGGTGCGGTGACACAATAGGGGGATGAGGTGACACAGTAGGGGGTGCCGTGACAGGCGGAGGAAAAGGAGGAACAGGAGGGAGTTGAGGAAGCGGAGCGTGGTTGCAAAATGGAAGAGCGGACCACGCTCCGCTTCCTCAACTCCCTCCTGTTCCTCCTCCAGCAGCAGGAGGAACGTACAGGAAGTGCAGGCACGTACAGGAAGTGCAGGCACGTACAGGAAGTGCAGGCACGTACAGGAATTGCAGGCACGTACAGGAATTGCAGGCACGTACAGGAATTGCAGGCACGTACAGGAATTGCAGGCACGTACAGGAATTGCAGGCACGTACAGGAATTGCAGGCACGTACAGGAATTGCAGGCACGTACAGGAATTGCAGGCACGTACAGGAATTGCAGGCACGTACAGGAATTGCAGGCACGTACAGGAATTGCAGGCACGTACAGGAATTGCAGGCACGTACAGGAATTGCAGGCACGTACAGGAATTGCAGGCACGTACAGGAATTGCAGGCACGTACAGGAATTGCAGGCACGTACAGGAATTGCAGGCACGTACAGGAATTGCAGGCACGTACAGGAATTGCAGGCACGTACAGGAATTGCAGGCACGTACAGGAATTGCAGGCACGTACAGGAATTGCAGGCACGTACAGGAATTGCAGGCACGTACAGGAATTGCAGGCACGTACAGGAATTGCAGGCACGTACAGGAATTGCAGTTCCGAGAGAGAGTCGATGGCAGTGGGGAGTGGGCCTGTCAAGTTGTTGCTGCTGAGATCGCTGGCATGGGTGGCAGTGCGCGGAAGGAGGGGGAGAGGAAACGACGAAAAGGAGGGCGGGGGTGGAGGGGTGAGGGGAGGAAAGGAAGAAGCGAGGGAATGAGGAGAGTGGGAGTGAGAGAGGAGAAGTGCAGAGCAGAGGTGACAAGCTGGTGATCAGACGTGGAAAGAGCATGTGAGATTGTTGGAACTCTGAGAGTTAAGATCGTGCATGTTGCAAAAGAAGGGATTTCGTAGTGGGATATGCACACATAAGAAGGCAGACACGACACGGGATGGGATGGAGCAAGTCGAGAAGGGTTAGAACATGAAGGGATGCAGAGCAGCGGCATGCATGCATACATGTAGGTGAGTGTGGTGAGGGTGGCGACGGCGGAAGGGATGCTGCCGATGAGTGGCGGCTGTTGGCTGCCCAACGATCTGCACCACATGGCACCCCAGAGCACCGCATGGCACCCCATGGTACCGCATGACATTGAACATGGAAGAGACGGCAGGGCATGGGCGCAGTTGGGAGGGGATGGGAGAGATATGAGGACAAATAGGAGGGGATGGGTCAATACGCAGCGGTAACGGAGGCCGGAAATGCGGAAAGACCAACCTCCCTTGCTCACCCACCCATCCGCTCGCCCATCTTAGTGCCCATTGATCCACCACACACCCAACTCAAGCACACACACACTACCTGCACTGCATAGGATGTCTCCATAAGCGCCAAGCTTAAGTCTCTTCGTCAGTCACCATACGCCGCATGCCGTATGTGCCTGCCTCACATGCAAGTCGGCCTTTCACCGCTCCCGTATTCGTTACCAATTCCTACGAAAGACCAGTCACGTGCACACGATTGCCAGCGCGGACCAGCACTTGCCGATATGAGGCGACCCCACAGTCACTCACGTGCATACTCACGACCATCCTTACTCTATGATGCTCACGACCATTCGTTACACCCGCGCGCTCAAAACCACGACCATCCCGTATCACATGCTCACGACCATCCTTTCACTCACATGCTCACGATCATCCATGTGGATGGATCACACGTGACGCCCACCCATGCCCCGCAGTCATCCTCGCTGTTCCATGACGTCAGCACCTGCCCTGTGGGGTCCAGGCTCGTCTTGAGTTCCAATAATGCTGGCACTGCACAGGCAGAAGCAGAGGGAGAGGCAGAGGCAGAGGCAGAACGAGAGGCAGAGGCAGAGGCAGAGGCAGAGGCAGAGGCAGAGGCAGAGAAAGAGGCAGAGGAAGTTGCAGAGGCAGAAGCGGCGGGGGTGGGGGGAAATAGTTGGGGGGGCACGACCGGGGTGCAACAGCAATTTAGAGGCTGCTAAGAAACACGCGTTGCTCCGGAAAGACGGACGGAGAGGAGAGGCGCATCGGTCGAGAGACATACAAACACGCGCTTTAAGCGCTTTGCGAAAGAGCGAGACGAGAGGAGAGGAAGAGGCGGGGCGGGAGGGAGGGGGGAGAAGAGGGAGGCAAGGGGGAGGGGGGTGGAGAGAACGTGGGTGGGGGAGCGAGGTTGGGAGGAACGGATCTGGTGGGGGGAGAGAAAAGGTACTTTGCGTGGCGGAAGGCGGTGAGGCGTCCACGAGTGCAACGCGCGCCAAGAACATCATTGTTGATAGAAGCAGTGTAAGAAGCGTCGCAAGCGTTCTCTCGGAGAGCATGAGCCGACGCATCCGATGTACCCCCATCGCTCCCATCCCTCCCGTCGCTCCTGTCGCTACTGCCGCTTCCGTTGCTCCTCTTGTCCGTGTGATACGGCTGCGACGGCATTGTACTGTGTGCGACGGTTGTCGCGGGCAGATCGGATGCGCCGCAAGACTTGTGCGACACCGTACAGCCTCCCCCTCTGTCATCCCCGAGCCGAATAATAATCAATATGCTACAAGGAGCAGTCGACCTTTCCGAGTAAACCTTACACGAAACGACCTAACAATAATATATTTCTTTTTTAGTGCGAGCCGGGAAGAGCGATCCGACCTTGGCCTATCTAACCTACTTGTAAAACCGTCTTCGCAGTACCCGCCGATGATCTATGCTACAATATATATCCCGAGAACACCCAGCTACTTATTGCAAAAGCCAGTGATGCTGAGACGGCGGTGGTCGCCGCGAAATGAAGCGGACTGTGAACGGATAAATAGCTGGATCTGCGGCGCAGCTCTTAGTCCCCTTGGAAACTGGCTGTGTTCCCGGTACTCAAGACGACACCACGCGCATTGTGATAGGCTGCGCGCGACTGGAATGGACCGTTGCGAGTGCGGTTAAAGCCCGCGGCCCAAATTGCAAGCCGCGCGGTTCAAGTTTTTAAAACTTGTTCCCCTGACTTTCGGGTTACCAGGTTTCTGGGAGACAGAGGTCCGCGCGACACAACTCAGGCTGTGAGCCAATGAGAGTTGACTACCCCTATGTTGAGAACCAATGAGATTGAACACAAATGTCTTCAGTCGCAAACCAGGGCTCGGCAGAACCAACACACACCCAAAAACTTGAAAACGAGGGTGTGCAATTTGGGACTCTTGGACACAAACAAGTACCCGCTGCACTAACAAAAAAGCCCACGCACAACTCGAACGCACAGTAGGAACGGCCATGGCACGCCTGCTCTCAATCGTAATGCTATATGGGAACTATGGCAAGCTAGCAGCGGAAAATAGGGGCATTGATGGTGCTGGTGCTATTGCCTGTTTCTGGCACCTCCGAGCAGAGCGCACATCCAGACGATGCGACGGCGATGGTCGCGTTCGTCGTATGACCGAAGGTCGTTTAGATAGTAGTCCCAACCATGCCGGCACTCCGTCGACTTGCCATGTCGACGAAGCTGCTCGCAGGGTTGGTACATCGCGCTGCGTCACTTCGCGCAGCGTTTCGACGCCTTGCGCCTCGACGCGCTGCGTCTCATGGCGTAGACAGAGATCGCGTGGGGTTTCATCGCGCATCCTCGTCGCTCTCTACGCCTCGGACCGGAAAAAAGCCCTGTCGTCATTCGAATCGCGTGAGCGACCTCATGGAAATCCGCGCAGCCCTTTGGTTTACGGTCCGTATTTGAAATGATCACTGCGCAAACAAGTACCCAATGCAAAGTATGCGATGTTCCCTGAACATCCCCCTCCCATCGCCTCCACTTCCCCCTCCCGTCGCCTCATCTTCCCCATCCCGTCGCCTCATCTTCCCCCTCACGTCACCTCAACTTCCCCCTCCCGTCGCCTCCACTTCCCCCTCCCGTCGCCTCCACTTCCCCCTCCCGTCGCCTCCACTCCCCCCTCCCGTCGCCTCCACTTCCCCCTCCCGTCGCCTCCACTTCCCCCTCCCGTCGCCTCCACTTCCCCCTCCCGTCGCCTCCACTTCCCCCTCCCTTCGCCTCCACTTCCCCCTCCCGTCGCCTCCACTTCCCCCTCCCGTCGCCTCCACTTCCCCCTCCCGTCGCCTCCACTTCCCCCTCCCGTCGCATCCACTTCCTCATCCCATCGCAAGCACTTCCCCCTCCCGCCCCCTCCACTTCCCCTTCCCGTCGCCTTCGCTTCCTGCTCACTCTCTCCCCACTGTCCCCATTTCCCCTCCCCACCCTTCCCCGCCGCCCGTCCGTGGGCAGCAAAGTGGCGTCCCTTTTGCGCCATCGTGATCAAAGCTCCTTCCGTCGCCACCCTATTCTTCCCCTCGCACCTCCCCTCTCCTCACCTCATTTCCCTCCTCTCCCCTTCCCTCTTCGTTCCGCCGCATACTCTCATAGCCTTGCGTCCCCTACGTCCCATAGGCTCTCTGTATCCTTCTCTCCTTTCCGCCCCTCCGTGTGGGCTCCCCCTCTCCAACATTCACTGCTGTCCCGCTCCCGTGCCACGGCGATCGCCATCAAGGTCGAGTCCGGGCCTGGCTCCTCGTGTGAGGGGTGTAGCAAACTTTCTCTCCTTCCATCCCCCCTTTCCATCCTCCCCCCCCCACTCTCCCCCTCTCGCCCCTCCTCCCCACCCAGGCGAGTGGCGATCTGGCGGCACTTGCGCGTGTTTTACGCACATGTGGCAATGAGTGCGCAGCTCATATCGGCGCCCTCAGGCCAGGCCAGGCCCCATCGTAAAAAACTAAAAACTGTCAGACGCCAACCTCTCTCCCCTCCCCCTCCTTAATCCCCTCCTCCTCTGCCTCTCCCCTACTCCCCATAACCTCCTGCTCGCCTCCCTCGCCGTGAGGTCTAAGGAACCTCGTATTCCCACATCGGCTCGTGTCTCCCCCACATCTCCCCCCTCTCTCCTCCTCCTCCTCCCCCCACCCACTGCCGGCCCGCCTGCCAACCTCATCCACATTTCTTTCCCCCATCCGCTATCATCAACGCCCTATTAGGACAAGCCGTAGAGGGAGGGCCTCCTCACGCGCCCTCGAAACCCATCTCTCCCCATCTCCCCCCACCTCAACCCCCCCCTTTCCCACACTTTCCCCGTCCCCACCCTCCCTACTCTCCCCACCTCTGTCCCCCTTCCTACCCCAGGCGAGGCCCCCTCTCCCTCTACCCCACACTCTTGCTTCCTCACCCGGGCTCCCCCTCACTCTTTGCACGCTGCTCTCTTCTTCCCACCCAATTTCTTCCAATCGTTCTCTCAGAAAATCATTTCCGTTTTTCCTGCCCCTCCTCTCTATTCCTCCCCCTCCCCTCTCAGGCAATTAATGCAATCACAGACAAGCACGTGCCACATGTCCCAAAGCCCTTCCATCCGGCCCTTTCTTCCTCTCCTCTCCTCTCCCTTTCGGCCACCCCCCTCCCTTCTCTGCCTGCCATCGGGTCATTGCAAGCACCGACAAGAACAAGCCACCAAGTCCCTGTTCCAAGGCCCCTCGCTTCTCCTGACCCTGCTGCCGAGCCTGTTCCCAGACCTGCCTCCGAACCTGAAGCTCATGGCAAGAGGGAGGGAATGACAGCGGGTGGTATGGAAGCAGGGAGGGAGGGGAGGAGGGAAGGATGACACAAGGGAGTGAGAGTGAGGGAGGTGAGGGGTAAGGGGAAGGGTGGGAGAAGGAGGAAGAGTTGGAGGAGGAGGACAAGGAGTGGGATGATGAAGTGGAGTTCTAGGAGGCACAGGTGAGAGCTGCACCACACTGCTGCTGGGCTGGGACACATACCCACCCTCTTTTGTGAAGCTTCCTGACTATCTAACAGGGGGACTACTTACCCTGGCCACCCTGTTGTGCCTGTGTTGTTCCTCAGATGGTCTTACCCCTACTTCCTCCCTTCTTACCCCCTCGTCCTCTCCTCTCTCCTGCATTGGTGCATGTGTCCTGTTTTGTCTGTGGATGCTGTGGGCAGCAGAGGAGGAACTATACGGGGAGAAGATACTTTCAGTTGACAGCCTGACCTCAGGTGGTCTCCACCTGTCAGGTGAAATGACAGTGTGAGATTCTATGGTGCCACCCATACACCAACCCCCGCTCCCCTCTCCTCACCGTTTGCCCTTCGGCTGTGTCCCGCTGCTCAACCCCATTTGCTCAGACTTCTATTCTATGCTCTCATCTCACCTTTCCATTCTCCCCTCCCTCCGTTCTTTTTAACTCTATCCCCTTCCACCTCCTCCCCCTTCTCTGTTTGTTGTGCGCTGACTTCTTCTGCCACACCTGGTTCCATGAGGTGCGGTTGGTGGGAGGCATAGAGATCTTGGGATGCGTCTCAAGAGTTGGCTTGAGTCTGCACCGGGTGTGTTCTGTGTGTTGTGCGCCAAGTTATTTCGTCACTGCTGCTTTCATGAGGTCAAGTTAGAGGATGAGAGTGGTTCTATTGAAAGGGGGGCGGTGAGAAACCCAACGAAGCGCTTGCACCTACAAGCTAAGGTTTATGTGAATGCGTGCATCACGACTTTCACGGGCTCGCCCATGCATGTCTCTCATGCCCCCATGCCCATGCCTCATTCTCCATGTGATGGCGAAGGTGGGTGCATTGAAGATGGTCAAGTGGCGTCGCTATTTACTGAGCGAAAGTGAGGTTTCCCACGTAGTGCCATATGACGTTATCCGCGCTGGCATTCAGTGTTTGATATTCCGCCGCATTCCGATGCTTTCAGAATGCGCCGACGTTCGTGCCGTGTCTACGGCTTTTTCGTACCTTCGGGAAGCATCCTTTCCAGGGCGACGGGCCATATTCCCTATCTCGCCGTCTCAAATGAAGTGGTTCTGTTTGTTGATGACGGTCGTGTGACGTTTTTTATCTCAACTGCAACCTTTATGGCTGTCGTAATGCTAAGGATTTGGCAGTTTTATCATCCGCGACGCAAGTGTGCTTGCTCGTGCCGCCTACTGTAGTTGGCTGCTGTATGCAGTATCAAGTACTAGCGGGCCTCATCATGGTTGGTTGTCGAAAGCCTAGGTCATGGTGTTGTGTGTGTGGCAGCGCAAGAGCTGCGGAAGTGTTGTGTTGTGTGGTTTTTGGTCGCGGTGTGTGGTGCGCCGTGCGACAATTTCTATTGGCTGGTTTTCTATTGTTTGACTCGGCTGTTCGCTAAACAATTCTCGATTTCGCTTACTGGGTGTGCCTTCTTTCGGCTCCCAACTTTCACTTTCACACCCCTCGCCACCCGTTGTTCCCCTGGGCCAAGTTTTAAAAACTTGTGCAATTTGGGCCAACGGCTTTAAGGTCACCGTTTTCGAGTTAACAATCTTAAAGCCCAAGACCTGAATTACAAAAAAAGAAAGGCAAACTGTGCACAGTTTGCCTTCCGAGCCCACAGTTGACTTCCCGAGCCTCTCTGGTTACCAAATGACGCCCCGCAAAACTGCAGAGAGTCGTAAGCCCAAAATTGGTTGGCGAGAGTCCCAACCGCTCCCTCCTGAAGGGAGTAGGGCAAGGCAAGCTGTGTACAGATTGGAAATTGTTGTAATTCAGGTCATGCTCGACCACATAGTAGTCACGTGAAACTCCTAGGTAGAGCAGAAAGCCAATAGAGCTGGAGCCCAATCCACCGGAAAAAAAAAAAAAAAACACCAAACAGATTCTATGCGATGGCGCCGCTTTTTACTCAGCGTCGTCGTCGAAACCCTGCGCGACCGCGCAAACGACAGTTTGCGGCGCATGCATCTCCTCTCCGAGCTCGATAATAGGTAATCAAACGGTCGATCGCGGTCATTTCCCGCGCATTCGCCCTATGTTTGCCTCAGCTACATTCCCCTCCCGCGCTTCCTAGTCGACGTCACACCCTGCCACCCACGCTTCCCCTCGTCGCCGTCGCCGTCCCCCACGCTTCCCCCCACCATCGCCCTCGCTTCCTCCCGCTGTCGCTCACACTTTACTCCGTCGTTGACCACGCTCCCCCTCCCGTCGCTTTCGCTTCCTCCCACCGTCGCCCTCGCTTCCTCCCACCGTCGCCCTTGCTTCCTCCCACCGTCGCCTTCGCTTCCTCCAACCGTCGCTTTCGCTTCCTCCCACCGTCGCCCTCGCTTCCTCCCACCGTCGCCCTCGCTTCCTCCCACCGTCGCCCTCGCTTCCTCCCACCGTCGCCCTCGCTTCCTCCCACCGTCGCCCTCGCTTCCTCCCACCGTCGCCCTCGCTTCCTCCCACCGTCGCCCTCGCTTCCTCCCACCGTCGCCCTCGCTTCCTCCCACCGTCGCCCTCGCTTCCTCCCACCGTCGCCCTCGCTTCCTCCCACCCTCCCCTACACTCCGCCGTCGTCATCACTTCCCTGCCTATCACGTTCACCCTCTTCGTCACACGTCGCCTCTCTCTCTCCCCCTATTCTACCTTCACCACTCCTACCGTCGTCCATGGTTACCACCCCACACTTGAACCCTTCTCATTCTCTCACATTCTCCCTTCTCCCTTGCTTCTCGCCCACACTAAACGCAGAGATGTATGGCGCCTGGGCACTGGGTATGGGGTCGTGAATTGTTCGTTGTGGGGTGTGTGAGGGTGCGTGGTGCGAAGGCTAGGGGAGAATGAAAGCTGATGGGGTGCGAGTCGAGGAGCACGCACCCTGCCCCTCACGCTGTGTCACTCACAACCCAATGGCAGCACAGCAAGCTTAGCAACCTCCTCCTCACTCTCGCACCAACCCCGCACACAGCCGGGGAAGCTCGTGCAGGCGGGCAGTGAGGAGCGCTGTGCACAAGGGGGCGAGGGGGTGGGGCAAGGGAGCGGGGGAGGCGTGGCAGGGGAGTGAGGGAGGGGGGAGTGGGGGAGGCGGGGCAGGGGAGTTGGGGAGGGGGGCAGGGGAGTGGGGGAGGGGGGGCAGGAAGCCGTCCCGTCTTCCTCCTCTTCCTCTTATTTGCCTTCTCCTGTCCGTCCTTCCACTCTCCATGCCTCCCTCCTCTCTTTCTCTCTCTTTCCCTCCTTCACTTCTCCCGTCCGCACGTGCTCCCAGCCTCCCTCCTCCGTACCACTCTCCCACCCACTCTTTCTTTCATCCTCCTGCCTCTCTTCCACCCTGCCACTCTTCTTTTCAGACTGCCACCTTCCGAGCTTCTTTTAGTCCACCTTTCCGTCTCACCCACTTGTCCTCTCCCAACTTGATCCTCACATCCTCCCATCCCCCCTTCTCCCCTTCCACCCTCCAACCCTAGCGCTCATCCTCCCTTCGTCTCACCCTCCTTTTTTCTCATCCTCCCATCCTCCCTCTCTTCCCTCCCCCCTCCCTTCCTCCTGTCCTCCCTTCCTCCCTTCCTTTCTTCCTCTCTTCCACCCTCTGCCCTACTCTCTGCTTCAGTGTCTTTCTCCCCTCTCTTTCCCCTTTCCTCCCTCCCTTCATCTCATCCTCTCTTCCGCCCTTCCTCCTTGTCTCCCTTGCTCATTTCTCCCTCCTCATATTCCCTGTTCCCTGCGTCCCTCGCTGCCATCCTCTCTTCCTCTCAGCCTCCTCACTTCCTCTCGTCAACCATTCCTCCGCACCCTTCTACCCTGCCACGCCTATACACTCCTACCTTGTTCTATGGGCTTGTTTCTTGTTGCCTGCCTGCCCTTGCATTGTCATTGTTTTGTATCCTTCCCCGCTGCTTCGACTCTTGGCACATTAGATTTTGTGGTTCGTGTTTGTGCAGGTCTGCCATGTATCTAGCTGTGATGCCTTCACTCTTTGATGATAGTGGTATGACAAATAGCCATGCCATGTATGTTGGATGCTTCTCATGATACAACACTTTGGGCCTCGGAGCAGCCATGTACGTGAGCACGACAATGAAATGCAACAAAGCAAGAGATTTTCTTCCTTACAGTTGTCGCCAGTGGACTACAGGCACAATGCACAAATCTGGAAGGTGGTAACTTTCCATCCCACTCCTGTTGGGACCCATGGTGCTGGGCAACTGTACAAGCATGGTTCTGTGATAGAACGGGGAGGGAAGAGTGGGTATGGCGAATAAGCAAGGGCTGGAGGTTGGAGGTACAGAAGGGCATGTATAGCTGTGGAGCGAAAGGCAGTGCGGATGGTGGTGGTGCTGCTGCTGCTCGGGCTGTTGCTGTTGCTCTAGGAGTTACAACTGCTGCTTCTTCTGCTGCGCCAGCTGCGCGCCTTTCTCCCTCCCCCTCCTCCTCCTCCTCCTGCTGCCGTGTCAAGAGCGGCTCCCTCAGCACGTCCCCAGCACCGCCAGCACTCGCAGATGCGGGCACATGGGGTCCCTTGCGCGCCGAGTCAGAGGAGGCACCTTGCGCAGAGGGGCGTCGCGAGGAGCAGCGCTGTGACGCTGGTGCCAGGGAGGCTGCCAGACCCACCGGGCTGCGCAGGGCGGACGCACCAGCAGCACCAGCAGCAGCACTGCCTCCGGCACCTGTGCCTGCAGCTGGAGAAACGGGAGCAGCGGCGGCAGCAGGAGCAGCAGGCGCAGCAGTGAGAGTGAGTGCAGGAGGCGGGGGCGAGGCGCCAATGGTGAAGGCAGGAGAGGGCGGGGAGAAGGTGGATTGAGAGAACACCAGCCTGGCCCTTGCAGGCGCCAGCGCGACCGCCGAGTCAGAGGAGGGGGGGATAGAGCCGGGCGGAGGGTTACCCTCCCGTGCTGCTGGAAATCCCCCCCTGCTGCTGACCGCCCATGGGGCTGCTGCTGCCCCCCATGCCTTGCACTGCAAGGAACGCACCCGACGACGCACCACCGGCGCCCATGCTGCTGCTCCCCTCCGTCGCCCAGTACGCTCCCGAGGCACCCTCCATCGCACCACCGCCACCCGTGCCCATGCCCACGAGCAAGGGCATGGCTAGCGCGCCTCCCACTCCCCCTCCCCCTCCCCCTCCGCCTCCTCCTCCGCCTCTCAGCGAGGGAGCTGACGCGGCTGATGTCTGACAGCAGAGAGTCGTAGCTCTCACTCCGCTCCAACACTCCCCGGCCCCCTCCCGCGTGCCCTCCCTCTCCCCCTCCCTCCCCCGCCTGTCCCCCCCCAGACGCGCCTCGTCCTCGGGGAAGCTGCCCAGCATCACTGCCCGCTCCTCCCTCCCCAAGCTCCGTGCGGGGGAAGCGAAGGCTCCGCGCGGGGAAGCGAAGGCTCCGCGCGGGGGAAGCGAAGGCTCCGTGCGGGGGAAGCGAAGGCTCCGCGCAGGGGAAGCGAAGGCTCCGCGCGGGGGAAGCGAAGGCTCCGCGCGGGGGAAGCGAAGGCGACGCGCGGGGAAATCGAAGGCGACGGGGGGGAGAAGCGAAGGCGACTGGCGGGATAAGAGAAGGCAACGGTCACCCGAAAGCGAAGGCGGCGACGGGCGGGGGAAGCGAAGGCGACGGGATGGGGCCGCGAATGCGATGGGCTGCGGAAGCGAAGGCGACGACGCGGGCGATGGACAGAGGAAGCGTGGGACCCGGGTGAAGGAAAGCGAGGGCGAGGGATGGTTACGCTTGGCCGAACGTGAGGGTTATGCGAAACCTGCATTTTTACACCATATCTCATCGCACGCCGCTCAATATCCTTACGCTTCGAACTCACATTCCGCACCACACACCATCGCATCGTGCCTTGATCGCTCTAGAGTCAACGGCTACGCCCTGCCTACACGTATTCTATATTATGCCTAGTTTTAGTCTGCTGCTAGGATTGTCAAAGTGTGCACAGTTTGGTAGGCACGCTCAACTCTGGTTGTGGGAAGCACGCCATTCATCACAGGTCTTCTTCCGAGCGACACAACTTTGTTGCAAACTGGTTTCGCGAGTGAAAGGGTTTCGCAACCAAACCGAACCTCTTCCGAACCTAGTTTTTTGGCGTTGACTTCCGTTGAGTAATTCAGGTCTTGGGCTTTAAACAATAGGGCTAGAGAGCGGTAGGAAAAAGTTAGGCGGGCAACATATTCAAGCAGCAGTCGCCCGTGTTGAACATAACGATGTTAATATCCTTAACGAGGACGAACAGCTTGACATTCTAGTAACACCTTGATGGGATTAGTATTGTTGGGTAAGCGACAGAGGTGGTGAGCTAAGGATGGTAACATAGTTAGACTTAGTCGACTAACAGCCAGAATAGAGATACACGGAGCTGCGCTAGCCAAGAGCACTCTTGAGTGACCTAAAGTATCTTCTGGTGCTGCTTGGCAGGCTGATGTGCTGGAGGACACACGTGCGTGTGTGGATGCCAGGTGTGCTGCTGTGGTGCTGTGATGTGATGTGCTCTGCTTTTATGTGTGTCTGTACAGTATTTATTCTGTGTGATTGTTGGTGAGGTGAGTTACACTTGCAAGTGTTCACCTCTGCCCTACCTGTTCACTCCACTCTCACGGGGACGGCTAGCCAAGATTTATCCAGAGGGCGTACTTGAGAGGTCAGTATAGTCGGTTGGGTAAGATCCCAGCGTATTGAGCTGGTTTCTGTGCGCTCTAGCACGGTTAGTGATGCAAACTTTGTTCAGCACGAGCACGAACGGATGCATGGGTTGATTGATGGGCAACTTCATTCCGCAACCGAAACCGAAGGTAGGCTCGGATTCTGTCGGGGAGGTGCAAGTGCCAACGACTGCAACCCAATTTCATGCCGTGTTACCGTGTACACTTCTCTCCCTGACCTCCCACTCTTCCCGCCACGGCTACCTTTGAAGTGTCAGTCTTTCCGGTTCGGCCCAGGCCAGAGGAACCGAGTCTAAGCTAAAGTGGTTCAGGTCAGCGATAACACGGCCATTTTCATATGCATGCAACTTAGCCTAGGAACGATTTTCAGGTGCATGCCAGGTTATTGGGAAGGTGTGTACACGATTCGCAGGTTAAACAATTTTTCCCGTAATTTTGCAATCTTTCGAAAATTCGATTCGAATTGGCAGAAAAGGTCTGACATAGATGCAATTTCGGGCTCCGCAAATCAGAATCAGGATGGTTGGCTCTCCATGCTGCATTTTTCTGACGTCACTCAATGCAATGATTGCATTTTTGCCCAATTTCTACGCGAATTTCTGCTTCGCACCAGCTCTTTTTGAAATAATCCTAATGCTAGATCTGCTGTACTCTTGGTGCATTACGGGAGAAAATGTTTAACCTGAGAAAAGTGTACGCACCTTCCCAATAACCTGGCATGCACCTGAATCGCGTTCCTAGGCTAAGTTGCATGCATATGAAAATGGCCGGCGATAACAAATCTTCTCGTTCGGTGGATGCGCTTTCGTGAGCTTGAACAAGCTTGGCTTGGACCAGGTATAGCCGAACCACCCACGATGGCTTTCTGCGGGTTGGTCTAGAACCTAATCTCGAGGTCTGCCAAAACGCTTTCTAGTAGCCCTTCCGGACCTTCGTGAATCGTCGCGCCAGAAGTGCACAACCAAATATCAGAATCATCGCTTGCGTACTGAGGGTGGGTGTCGCAGCCAATTACATAGCCCGCAAAACATCGTAGGTGATCGCCCAGCACTAGTTCCAGAACACTAGTGGGCATTGGGCAAGCTCGAGCCTCGAGCTCCAGCCAGACCAAGCGGCCGGGAAATATTCGGCGCTATTTGGTAAGAACTTTACTACACCCTGTTTCTTGCCATAGTAGCTTCGGAAGTAAAAAAAATCTTGGGAGAAGAACATGGTGTAGGGTGGTTATATCATGTTCTCTATGGTTAATTTAGCTAACTTGCATAATACAAAGAGTGACTTCACGTGTATAGGGTTGATGCATGCTATGTTTTCTCAATACCTTGGGGTCTTTTAATTGTTACGCCCCTGTCTCAAAACAATTATTCATAACCGCAATACATCCAACGCATTAGTGTGCTCCTATGTGTGTCAACTCGAGTTAGGCGCATTTCTCGGGCAACCTCAATCTAGCGTGGATAATCCCCGTATCAGGGTGGCAGAGTCAATTCAATTTTATCATGCATTCCCATATGCATGGGTGATGTAATTAAACAAGTAAATGATTATGGTTACTTCAATGCTTTTGTTTAGATGGGTATATGGTGCAATGGCTAAATGGCAGTGGGCTAGAGATATTTATGGTTGGTACGTATCCGGGTCATCTGGTAATGTGGAACTAGTGCGCACCCTTGTTGTGGTTGCGCACACTATCTCTCCTTTTGTATATATATTGGCAGTGTCAGAATGTTATATTTGTCTAGCCTGCAGTGGGGTACTCAATAGTGAGTACAACCCAATATAGGGTTTCCTATATGTACTCAACTGCTTGCTAGTGCAATCATTCTCACTTCCTCTTTCTCATTTCTAACTTCCTGCTGTTTCTTAACATGGTATCAGAGCGGGTTCCCTCCTGGGACTGTTCCTTCCTCGGGCCCACCACTTCGCTAAACTTTTTTTTTCTGCCCTGCCCTTAGCGCGTTTCGCGCTCTGCCCTGCTGCCCGTCGCGACCCTTCGTGGCCCCTTCGTGGCCCCTTCGCGACCCCGTCGCGGCCCTGTCGCGGCCCCGTCACGGCCTCGCCCCGGCCCTGCCCCGTTGCCCGGCCCTGCCCCGTCGCCCTGTCGCGGCCCCCCGTCGCGGCCTCCTGTCGCGGCCCCCCGTCGCGGCCCTCTGTCGCGGCCCCGTCACGGCCTCGCCCCGGCCCTGCCCCGTCGCCCGGCCCTGCCCCGTCGCCCGGCCCTGCCCCGTCGCCCTGTCGCGGCCCCCCCCGTCAGGGCCCTCTGTCGCGGCCCCCCGTCGCGGCCCTCCGTCGCGCCCCCCCCCCCCCCCCCGTCGCGGCCCCCCGTCGCGGCCCTGCCCCGTCGCCCGCCGCGGCCCTGTCGCGGCCCTGCCCCTGCCCTGTCGCGGCCCTGTCGAGGCCCTGCCCCGGCCCTGCTCCGGCCCTGCCCCGACCCTGCCCCGGCCCCGCCCCTGCCATGCTCCGTCGCCTGTCGCGGCGCATCGGGGACCCGTGCACCGCCCCCCCCCTCTTTTCCCGTCGCCCGTCGCGGCTCCCTGGGGGGCCGCGACCTGGGGGGGGGGGGGCGCACGTCGCCCCTTCTGCCGCCTGTTCTGGCGCCCTGGGAGGCCGCGCGTCGCCCCCCCCTCCCCCCCCTCCCCCCTCCCTACCCGCCATCCCGCCCTGCCCTGTGTTAGGGTTTGGGGGTGGCGAGTGGGGGGTGGCGGGTGTGTGGTCTCCCCTGCTCCTCTTCCTCCTCTGTCTCCCACTACTGCAGCTACCGCTGAGGGGGGTGGGTGTGTGGGAGTCGACGGAGTGGGACTAGGGGGTGGGGTGTGAGTGAACCTAGGGGTGCAGCAGGGGGTGTGTGAAAGGGGGGTGGGATAGTTTGGGGAGGTTGAAGGGGGGTGGCCGCCGTGAAGCCCGCAGCTCCAGTCGCCCGTGAGACCGTTGCGCCAGTAGCCCGTGAGCCCGTTGCGCCAGTCGCCCGTGAGCCAGTTGCTCCAGTCGCCCGTGAGTCCGTTGCTCCTGCAGCTCAGAGTTAGTCGCGGAGACAGTTACTCCAGTAGCCCGTGTGCCAGTTGCTCCAGTTGCCAGTGTGCCAGTTGCTCCGGTTGCCCGTGTGCCAGTTGCTCCAGTTGCGCCGTGTGCCAGCAGCTTCAGCTGCCGCCCACTACCTCCTCTCCTCTCATAGTCCCTCCTCCTCCACACTTGCCCTCTGTGATAGCTTCTAGCTTTGCTTACTATTATTGTGAACTATTGCTTACTTACTTGTGCTCAGAATGCGTGGTGACATTGTGATCCACCCTGAGCTTGTCTTTTGCTTTGCTTTGCTTCTTGTGCTGATTGCACCCCACTTTGGCTATGGGGGTGTGTCAGAATGTTATATTTGTCTAGCCTGCAGTGGCGTACTCAATAGTGAGTACAACATGATCTAGGGTTTCCTATATGTACTCAACTGCTTGCTAGTGCAATCATTCTCACTTCCTCTTTCTCATTTCTAACTTCCTGCTGTTTCTTAACAGGCAGGCCAATGCACACCCTTCGTTCGGCCTCCCATCTTCCCGAGACATTTCAAACTCGATAAATCTAGTCGCACTAGAGCGCACTTTGGCGGTTCCTGTCAATTACATAAACTACTTATTTATTCCTTGTATAATATTTGCATTTTTTTTACCTTACCAACGTGCAGACTAATGGGAAAAACATACAATTGTTTCTAGCTATTCATGTATCTTTCATTTCCATTTACTTGCCTCGAAACGAGAACCTTCGATAACCAACAATGTCGTGATCGCATCTTACGTAGACGCGCATTTCCTAAACACGCATTGTTGTTTATCAATATATACTGGGAAAATAAATAAGCATTTTTCGGGTAGCATGTCATATATCAGGCATCAACCAATACAACAATGTGATAAGGTGTGTATTATTTATTTCTCTTACAACAGCAGCAACATAAATAGCAATGCACTACATGAATAGCAACAGCAACAACAATGAAACAACGCCATCACCATTAGAAAGAGTAGAAGCAGCAACAACATCAACAGAAAGAGCAGCAGCAGCAACAACAACAACAGCGGCATCATCAACGACAGCAACAACAGCAACAACAACAACAACAACAACAACAACAACAACAACAACAACAACAACAACAACAACAACAACAACAACAACAACAACAACAACAACAACAACAACAACAACAACAACAACAACAACAACAACAACAACAACAACAACAACAACAACAACAACAAGAACAAGAACAATAACAACAACATAAATAATCGGGCGCGTTGATCAATCGGGTCGAATAAAATCAATATTTATTCGTCTTATTGGCGTCTGGTATTTTGCGAGACTGCGCCATACCCACTATCGTGATAGCTCACACAGAGCATGCAAGAGTGGGAAATATCAACATTCGGGAGTCAACTGTACTGTCCCGACTGTTGACCATCATGGATCGGATGTTGCGAACTACTTCGCAGGTTACTCACTACAACAAGGCAACCGTCACTTTAACAGTATCGACCGATGCCAGTATTATGGTTAATAAGGACATGTACCCCTCGGATTATGTGGCTAGCTATGACTATATATCTCAATGTAATGTTTGTGTTATCATCTTGTCATTTACATTCAATATGATAAATGTCACAAGACTTCCGTTGTATTAGCTTCTCTGATAGCCACCTTATCCTGTCCAACAGATCCTTCAGTTTTTCTAGCACAATGCAAGAATTAGATGCATGCAACGCGCACCATTTTCGTCACGGGAGATTGGGTGGGGATAGTCTACACAGAGATCAACTTGATCATGCAGGCACTCGGTCAAATCTATGCGCTCCTAACTTAAATACATACATAGATGTTAGAATTTGTACTTCTTCCGTATGTATAACTGCATGCAGAATAGTTTGTATAATATCATGTTAGTTTTCTATCTGTTGGTGGTGTACCCCCTTGCCACCTTCCCTTCTATAATTTGTAACCTCTGTCATAATTGAAACCCCTCTTCTTCTCGTAACTCCCTCTCGTCCTAGTTACTAAACCTAAGTCCTAGCATGATCCTACTCTAACACGGTTTTAAGAGCTATGCGATCATAAGGCCTTTTGTTTATGGTGTCATCCGTTGCGCCCCGCGTCGTCCTGCTCGATCGCCCCTCCCGTCGCGCGCCCGTCGCTGCGACCGTTGCGACGGTCGCGATGACGGACGTGGCTGTCGTGACGGCGAGCTGGTTGCCCGTCGCTCGTCCCGTTCGTCGCCCCGTCGCTCGTGACCCCGTCGCCCCGCCGTCCGTCCGTCGCCCCATCGCCCCACCGTCTGCCCGCCCCCCTGTCCCGCTCGTCGTGACGCTCGGCGAATCCCCCGTTCCAGCCCCTAGAGCCGCGCGCCGTGCTGCACCAGCAGCACCTGCAGCGGCCGCCGTAGCCAATGTCACCGCCCTTCATTGCCCCATCCGCGGCGGACGGTCTGGGGCATCAGTGGCTGGACTTGCGCCCGCGGCTGCGGGGGTGCTGAAGCCTCCTTGCCCCCCCCGCCCCTTCCTTTTCCTCCTCCTCATCGCTGCATCTGCAACTGCTGTGCGTGCCGCGTTGTGGGGGGGGGGAGGGGGGAGAGGGCGTGGGAGTGGCGGGTATGTCAAGGCAGCCGCCCCTCCTCCTCTCACCTTCCTTATTCTCCCTCTCCCTCTCTCTTGACCAAAAAGCAACAATTTGCCTTCGCATCACCTTTAGGTTCTGTCGTTTCTGGCCAGGTTCGCCCCTGACGCGCCACCGAGCACTTGCAGCAGGGGTTCAACCGCAGCACTTTGGGCGGCCTCTCACTGGCTATCTAACACATGCAATTAAAGCTTTCGTATACATTTGAAAGTACTGTTTGTGGTGGAACAGTAGCCACCAAGATTTCGCCCCAACGAAAAGAAAGGGGCTTGGCGAGAGGGGTTGCGAAAATTTGGAGGATTGAGGGGTGGGAACATGAGAAACTCTCCCGTCACCCAACCCTTGAGGTTGGGCTCACAAACACAAGTATAAGCAACTAATTACTAGGAAAGGCCAGCATAGAACTAGCAGCGCAACCACTCACCCTGACCTAATCGCCCGTTGTAAGGGGACACGGGGCTATACAAACGCCTTTAGCTGCAGGGGCGGTGTGCATTCGGATGGGCCGCCGCGTAGCATTCGTCGAGCGATGCCATGCGGCAAACGGCGAGCGCCTCGACGAGTTGCATTATGCTGGCTCCAGGGTGATGAAATCGTCGAACCAGCGATAAATTATTCAGTGAGCCGTCGCGTTCCAACCTACGGGCTTCTCGCCTAGCGCCATCATGCATCACGAAACCCGCTGATGGCGAAACCCGCTGATGGCGGAACCCGCTGATGGCGATACCCGCTGATGGCGGAACCCGCTGATCGCGATACCCGCTCCTCGCCAAACACGGTGCTCGCGAAATCTGTTTAGCTCGTCACCCGCTTCTCGCCTCACCCGCCGCATGCCTCACCTGCGAATCGGCACAATACTCGCCTCACGCGCTGCTCGGCTCATAACCCATTTCGTCATTTTTCCCCCTTCCGCCTCTCGTTTCCTCAATCTCATTTCCCCCCCTTCCGCCTCTCATTTTCCCGGAGCTCCTCCCTCTCGTTTCCCCCCTTTCTCCCTCTCGTTTCCCCCCTTTCTCCCTCTCGTTTCCCCCCCTTCCGCCTCTCATCTTCCCCCCTTCCGCCTCTCGTTTCCCCCCCTTCTCCATCTCGTTTCCTCCCCTCCTCCCTCTCGTTTCCCCCCTCCACCCTCTCGTTTCCCCCCCTTCCGCCTCTCATTTTCCCCCCCTTCCGCCTCTCGTTTCCCCCCCTTCTCCATCTCGTTTTCCCCCCTCCTCCCTCTCATTTTCCCCCCTTCCGCCTCTCGTTTCCCCCCCTTCTCCCTCTCATTTCCCCCCCTCCTCCCTCTCGTTTCCCCCCCCTTCCCCCTCTCGTTTCCCCTCCTTCTCCTCTCATTTCCCCCCTTCTCCCTCTCATTTCCCCGTTTTCCCCCTCTCGTCTCCCCCCCTTCTCCCTCTCATTCCCCCCCCCCCTCCCTCTCGTTTCCCCCTTTTCTCCCTCTCGTTTCCCCCCTTTCTCCCTCTCGTTTCCCCCCTCCTCCCTCTCATTTTCCCCCCTTCCGCCTCTCGTTTCCCCCCCTTCTCCCTCTCATTTCCCCCCCTCCTCCCTCTCGTTTCCCCCCCCCTTCCCCCTCTCGTTTCCCCTCCTTCTCCTCTCATTTCCCCCCTTCTCCCTCTCATTTCCCCGTTTTCCCCCTCTCGTCTCCCCCCCTCCTCCCTCTCGTTTCCCCCCTTTCTCCCTCTCGTTCCCCCCCCTTCTGCCTCTCATTTCCCCCCTTTCCCCCTCTCGTTTCCCCCCCTTCTCCCTCTTGTAACTCCCCCTTCCCCCTCTCGTATTCCCCCCTTCCCCCTCTCGTATTCCCCCCTTCCCCCTCTCATTTCTCCCCCTCCTCCCTCTCGTTTCCGACCCTTCCCCCTCTCGTTTCCCACCCTTCCCCCTCTCGTTTCCCCTCCTCTCATTTCCCCAACTTCTCCCTCTCATTTCCCCCCTTCCCCCTCTCATTTCCCCGCTTTCCCCCCTCATGTCGCCCTCCTTCCCCTCATTCACCCTTTCCTTACCCTCATCTCCCCATCTCGTTTCTCGCATTTCCCCTACTCCGTCCCCTCGTTTCCCCCTCTCCCCTCATTTCATCCTCTCGTTCCACAAAATCCCCAACTCTCGTTTCCCACATTTCCCCTTATCCGTCCTCTCCTCTCCCTCTCTCCGTCCCCTCCTTTACCCCTCCTTCCCCTCATTTTCCCCTCTCCCTCCCCTCATTCCCCCCTCTCCTTTCCCTCATTTCCCCCCTCTCCTTTCCCTCATATTTCCCCTCCTTCCCCCCATTTCCCTCGAGGAGGGTTCGGGTGAGTGCAAAACTGTGTGCGGCGCACACAGGCATAGAGGGACAAATCGTTTGCGCTGGAGTGATCCGCCCTTGCTCTTATGTTGCCGCGTCTGCTCACGAATGCGCTCGTCAGCTCTCCATTTGTCACACAATCAGCTTTGCACCTCACACCACCCACTGAGTTCAAGCCTCTCACGTGTTACCCTATCACCACTGCTGCATATCTTCCCTACATGCCTCTCTCCCTCTCCTCTCTTCACACGTTGTTCTGCCCTGCCATGCCCTTCCCTTGCCTTCCTTACCCTTCCCTGCCCCCACCCTGCCGGCCGGTGAGTGCGCTCATGCTGCTGGCGCGCGAGAGGGAGCTGCAGCGCCCTCACATGCTGCACAGTCCTTCCCCTCCTCCCCCCTTTGCTTACCCTTCCTTACTCCCCCCCGTGCAACCCTTGCTCTCCCTTTGCTTCCCCTCCCTTCCCCTCCAGCTTACCCTCTGTTTCTTCTGCAGCTTGCCCTTGTCTGTAATTTTGTTTGTTTGTTTGTTTATTTGTTTGTTTGTTTGTTTTTTTCAAGTGCACAACACAAAAGACATCAGCCCTTCTCATTCTGAGTGCTGCTCTTTGCAGCTTAGTGAAACCAAATAACTAGGCAGGAAGTTCCAGCTTGTGTGTGCTGTTAGCGTATCAATCAATTCAATTGATAGCATAGCATGCCATAATACATCAGTTTATTCAAAATATTGATGACTGTACCTAGACACAACTTCCCTTCTTTGCGTACAGCATCCTTGCATGATGCATATGGGCACAGCACAGCATTGTATGCGACATGTGACGTGTGTTGTACACAACTCAAGATACATGGTGGGCTGTCCTCTGCTCTAGCTGGTCATCATTTGTCCAACACTTGTGTCTGATGCTGCTCCCCTCTGCTGAACCCGAACTTGTCCTGCTCGAAGCGGTAACAAAGGGGGGAGAGATGGGAAAACAGGATGGAAAGGTGGAGAGGCAGGAACGGAGGATTAGGTGGGACGCAGAGGTTTGGTGACAAGAGTGGGAGATGGGGAAGAGAGGAAAAAAGAGGGAAAGGCAGGAAGATTGCAGAAAAGTGGGAAGGGCTGGAAGAGAGGGGAAATGAGGGAAAGGTAGGAAGAGAGCTGAAAAGAGAGAAAGGCAGCAGGAGAGGGGAGAAGAGGGAAAGGCAGGAGGATCGTGAAAAAGAGGGGGGAAGGGTAATGCAGGGAGGGGAAGGGTAATGCAGGGAGGGGAAGGGTAATGCAGGGAGGGGAAGGGTAATGCAGGGAGGGGAAGGGTAATGCAGGGAGGGGAAGGGTAATGCAAGGAGGGGAAGGGTAATGCAGGGAGGGGAAGGGTAATGCAGGGAGGGGAAGGGTAATGCAGGGAGGGGAAGGGTAATGCAGGGAGGGGAAGGGTAATGCAGGGAGGGGAAGGGTAATGCAGGGAGGGGAAGGGTAATGCAGGGAGGGGAAGGGTAATGCAGGGAGGGGAAGGGTAATGCAGGGAGGGGAAGGGTAATGCAGGGAGGGGAAGGGTAATGCAGGGAGGGGAAGGGTAATGCAGGGAGGGGAAGGGTAATGCAGGGAGGGGAAGGGTAATGCAGGGAGGGGAAGGGTAATGCAAGGAGGGGAAGGGTAATGCAGGGAGGGGAAGGGTAATGCAGGGAGGGGAAGGGTAATGCAGGGAGGGGAAGGGTAATGCAAGGAGGGGAAGGGTAATGCAGGGAGGGGAAGGATAATGCAGGGAGGGGAAGGGTAATGCAGGGAGGGGAAGGGTAATGCAGGGAGGGGAAGGGTAATGCAGGGAGGGGAAGGGTAATGCATTGTGTGGAACCTGTGCGGCAGGGCGATGCCGCAGTGGGCCACGCGACAAGCGACGATCGTGCGATGGTGCCTTCCCTTGCGATGACGAGCGGGGGGGATGAGGAGAGACTTATGGCGGACCGGCAGTTTCAGTGCGGCCTCTTGTCGCTTACTATCGGGAGGCGCGGCCTCTCGATAGGCGACGAAATGAGCGGGAGAAGGGGGGAAATGATCGAGAGAAAGGGGGGACATGACAGGGAGCAGGGGGGGAAATGAGAGGGAGAAGGGGGGAAATGAGCGGGAGAAAGGGGGGGCATGACAGGGAGCAGGGGGGGAAATGAAAGGGAGAAAAAGGGGGGAATGAGGGGGCGCATGGGGGGAATGAGGGGGAGAACGGATGGAAATGAGAAGGAGAAAGGGGGGCAATGAGCGGGATAAGGGGGGGAAATGAGAGGGAGAAGGGGGGGAAACGAGAGGGAGAAGGGGGGGAGACGGGAAGGAGAAGGGGGGGAGATGAGAGGGAGCAGGGGGGGGGGGGAATGAGAGGGAGAAGGGGGGGAAATGAGCAGGTGAATGGGAGGGAAACGAGAGGGGGAAAGGGGGGGAATGATGGGGAGCATGAGGGGAAATGAGAGCGAGAATGGGGGGAAATGAGAAGGGGAAAGGGGGGACATGAGAGTGAGCAAGGGGGGAAATGAGAGGGAGAAGGAGGGGAAACGAGAGGGGGAAGGGGGGTAAACGAGAGGGGGAGGGGGGGAAACGAGAGGGAGAAGGGGGGGTAACGAGAGGGAGAAAGGAGGGAAACTGGGTAATGGGGAGGCGGGAAGGGGATATGGGGTGGCGAGAAGGGGTAATGGGGAGCGGGAATGGGAAACGGGGAGGCGGGAAGAGGTAATGGGGAGCGGGAAGGGGAAACAGGGAGGTGGGAAGGGGAAACGGGGAGGTGTGAAGAAGAAACAGGGAGGTGGGAAGGGGAAACGGGGAACGGGAAGGAGAAATCGGGAGCGGGAAGGGGAAACGGGAACAGGACGGGGAAACGGGGAGGCGGGAAGGGGAAATCGGGAGCGGGAATGGGAAACGGGGAGGCGGGAACGGGAATTGGGGAGGCAGGAAGGGGAAACGGGAAGGCGGGAAGGGGTAATGGGGAGCGGGAAGGGAAAACGGGGAAGCGGGAAGGGGTAATTGGGAGCGGAAAGGGGAAACGGGGGGGCGGGAAGGGGTAATGGCGGGCGGGAAGAGGAAACGGAGAGGCGGGAAGGGGAAACGGGGAGCGGGAAGGGGAAATAGGGAGCGGGAAGGGGAAACGGGGAGGTTGGAATGGGAATAGGGGAAGCAGGAAGGGGAAACGGGAAGGCGGGAAGGGGTAATGGGGAGCGGAAAGGGGAAACGGGGAGGCGGGAAGGGGTAATGGGGGGCGGGCGGGAAGAGGAAACGGAGAGGCGGGAAGGGGAAACGGGGAGCGGGAAGGGGAAGGTGGGAAGCGGGAAGGGGAAATGGGGAGGCGGGAAGGGGTACTGGGGAGCGGAAAGGGGAAACGGGGAGGCGTTGTCGCGAATTGGGGTGGCGAGAAGGGAAACGAGGAGGCGGGAAGGGGTTGGAAGCTCCCGTTTCTGCAGTCGTTCGTGTATTCAAGTGCGGCTGCCGGGGCTAGTGCAGAAACGTGGTAGCGAGGCTGTGCGATCGGGCCGCGACTTTGATCGTGTTCGGCAGTTTGAGACGAGTCGTGCGCGTTCACGGTGGCGTGAGGAGGCAGCGTCGTGAGGCGGCACGACGGACGACGAGGCGAGGCCATGAGAGGAGGTCCTACGGGATCGCCGCGTGAGAGGGCGGGACTGACGTTGGTTTATCCCTATAATTACACTAAACTGCCCCACGCGTCTAGGTTTGTGTCGGAAACGGGGGTAATTTGCGCTGGCTGTTGAGTCGCGATGTGCTCAGCTACGTATTATGCTGCCTGTAGAGCGTAGTGGCGTAGATCTCACATAGGCTGGAATTCGTATACTTTTGTCAACCCAAAAGTTTTGAATCACCAGCGAGTGCTGGGTGTTGGGGGAGATCTCCCTCCCTCGTTCAGAGACTGAACTAGCTCTAATAGGGTTACCAGTATTTCAAAATTCAAAACTTTTGAACCTCCCTCTTTCAAATGTATACAAAAGCTCAACGACAGCAACAACAGCAACAACAACAACAACAACAACAACAACAACAACAACAACAACAACAACAACAACAACAACAACAACAACAACAACAACAACAACAACAACAACAACAACAACAACAACAACAACAACAACAACAACAACAACAACAACAACAACAACAACAACAACAACAACAACAACAACAACAACAACAACAACAACAACAACAACAACAACAACAACAACAACAACAACAACAACAACAACAACAACAACAACAACAACAACAACAACAACAACAACAACAACAACAACAACAACAACAACAACAACAACAACAACAACAACAACAACAACAACAACAACAACAACAACAACAACAACAACAACAACAACAACAACAACAACAACAACAACAACAACAACAACAACAACAACAACAACAACAACAACAACAACAACAACAACAACAACAACAACAACAACAACAACAACAACAACAACAACAACAACAACAACAACAACAACAACAACAACAACAACAACAACAACAACAACAACAACAACAACAACAACAACAACAACAACAACAACAACAACAACAACAACAACAACAACAACAACAACAACAACAACAACAACAACAACAACAACAACAACAACAACAACAACAACAACAACAACAACAACAACAACAACAACAACAACAACAACAACAACAACAACAACAACAACAACAACAACAACAACAACAACAACAACAACAACAACAACAACAACAACAACAACAACAACAACAACAACAACAACAACAACAACAACAACAACAACAACAACAACAACAACAACAACAACAACAACAACAACAACAACAACAACAACAACAACAACAACAACAACAACAACAACAACAACAACAACAACAACAACAACAACAACAACAACAACAACAACAACAACAACAACAACAACAACAACAACAACAACAACAACAACAACAACAACAACAACAACAACAACAACAAGAACAATAACAACAACATAAATAATCGGGCGCGTTGATCAATCGGGTCGAATAAAATCAATATTTATTCGTCTTATTGGCGTCTGGTATTTTGCGAGACTGCGCCATACCCACTATCGTGATAGCTCACACAGAGCATGCAAGAGTGGGAAATATCAACATTCGGGAGTCAACTGTACTGTCCCGACTGTTGACCATCATGGATCGGATGTTGCGAACTACTTCGCAGGTTACTCACTACAACAAGGCAACCGTCACTTTAACAGTATCGACCGATGCCAGTATTATGGTTAATAAGGACATGTACCCCTCGGATTATGTGGCTAGCTATGACTATATATCTCAATGTAATGTTTGTGTTATCATCTTGTCATTTACATTCAATATGATAAATGTCACAAGACTTCCGTTGTATTAGCTTCTCTGATAGCCACCTTATCCTGTCCAACAGATCCTTCAGTTTTTCTAGCACAATGCAAGAATTAGATGCATGCAACGCGCACCATTTTCGTCACGGGAGATTGGGTGGGGATAGTCTACACAGAGATCAACTTGATCATGCAGGCACTCGGTCAAATCTATGCGCTCCTAACTTAAATACATACATAGATGTTAGAATTTGTACTTCTTCCGTATGTATAACTGCATGCAGAATAGTTTGTATAATATCATGTTAGTTTTCTATCTGTTGGTGGTGTACCCCCTTGCCACCTTCCCTTCTATAATTTGTAACCTCTGTCATAATTGAAACCCCTCTTCTTCTCGTAACTCCCTCTCGTCCTAGTTACTAAACCTAAGTCCTAGCATGATCCTACTCTAACACGGTTTTAAGAGCTATGCGATCATAAGGCCTTTTGTTTATGGTGTCATCCGTTGCGCCCCGCGTCGTCCTGCTCGATCGCCCCTCCCGTCGCGCGCCCGTCGCTGCGACCGTTGCGACGGTCGCGATGACGGACGTGGCTGTCGTGACGGCGAGCTGGTTGCCCGTCGCTCGTCCCGTTCGTCGCCCCGTCGCTCGTGACCCCGTCGCCCCGCCGTCCGTCCGTCGCCCCATCGCCCCACCGTCTGCCCGCCCCCCTGTCCCGCTCGTCGTGACGCTCGGCGAATCCCCCGTTCCAGCCCCTAGAGCCGCGCGCCGTGCTGCACCAGCAGCACCTGCAGCGGCCGCCGTAGCCAATGTCACCGCCCTTCATTGCCCCATCCGCGGCGGACGGTCTGGGGCATCAGTGGCTGGACTTGCGCCCGCGGCTGCGGGGGTGCTGAAGCCTCCTTGCCCCCCCCGCCCCTTCCTTTTCCTCCTCCTCATCGCTGCATCTGCAACTGCTGTGCGTGCCGCGTTGTGGGGGGGGGGAGGGGGGAGAGGGCGTGGGAGTGGCGGGTATGTCAAGGCAGCCGCCCCTCCTCCTCTCACCTTCCTTATTCTCCCTCTCCCTCTCTCTTGACCAAAAAGCAACAATTTGCCTTCGCATCACCTTTAGGTTCTGTCGTTTCTGGCCAGGTTCGCCCCTGACGCGCCACCGAGCACTTGCAGCAGGGGTTCAACCGCAGCACTTTGGGCGGCCTCTCACTGGCTATCTAACACATGCAATTAAAGCTCGCAGCCCAAATTGTGGAGCGCCCGGAGCAACCATAGTAATCCTAACGGGGAGGGTAGTGTGAAACCAAACTCAAAAGCCGAAAACAGAACTTGCATAAAAAACCACCTGAAAAAACACCTGGGTCGACCTTACTAACCTTCTGCAATTTGGGCTAAGGGGATGTTAGAATTTGTATTTATATTTATAACTGCATGCATTATAATTAGTGTGGTATCTAGTAGAAGTAGCAAGAACGTGAAGGTCCTACTGGGCTGTGGCGAAGAGTACCGGAAGGCAAAGCGTTGAAGCACCTTGTGCACCATGTGTGATTGAGTCAGGGCGATGGTGCGCCGTGCGCTGTCCCGGGTGATTTGCAAGCCAAGATAGCTACGCAGCTCACCCAGGTCACTGCAGGTGTGTCTCTCATGCACCTCTGTCTTCACTAAGGCCAGCGCCTCAGTGTCAACAGTAACAAATACCAAGTCGTCGACGTACACGAGAACGTAGAACGGTGGCATGATAGTGTCGGTGTGTAGAAACAGCGACGGGTCAGCAAAGGAAGGAGCGAAGCCAAAAGCTGCAAGTGCCGTCCTCAGTGTGTCGTGCCACTCGCGGGGCGCCTGGCGGAGACCGTAGATTGGCCGTCGGAGGCTCCACTAGGTACCCGCAGGAAACGACCCCGTGAAGCCAGGTGGGCGACGCAGCCAGATCTCTTCGTGAAGGCTGCGCTGCAAGAAAGTGTGGAGAAGTCGACGGAGTGCAACTCGTAGTCACGCAGTGTTGCAACGTGCAGCAACACCCGAAAAGTAGTCATCTTTGATGTGGGGGAGAACGTCTGGAAGAAGTCGACCCCTTGTCGCTGACTGAAGCCTCGAGCAACGTAACGCGCCTTGAAGGCAGGCTGAGAACCCGGCGGCCGCTTCACTCTGAAAATCCACATGCCATCGACTATGTTCACCCCAGGAGGAGGAACCTCGTCGACGTAGGTGCCTATGGACTTCCAGGAAGCCATCTCTGCGTCCATGGCTGTCTGCCACTGAGAGGAGTACTCACCCGCGATCGCCTCAGGGTCAGAGCGCAGGGTAGGGATGTCAAGTGCATCTGGGTCTCCCTCAGGGCAAAGCAGCATGGATGCGAAACGAGGTAAAGCAGCCGCAAGACACTCAAGTTGAAACTGACTGTCCTCAAGGACGTCACTGCTAAGGGCAGGCTCACCCCCGATGGACGGAGGACAGACAGACTCAGACTCAGCAACAAGACTCGCGACGTAGTCGAGACGACTCCTAGCAGCAAAGTCAACCAGCATAGTGACTAGGGCAAACGCAGCAGTAGACTCAAAGTCAGGGTCACTGACTACAGTAGCGAGGAGACGAGTGATAGTAGGACTGGCAGCACGAGCAAGGTCTGACTCACGGTCAGGAACTTCAGGAAGAGAGGACGCCGAAGGAGACAGCAGGGCAACACGCTGTGGAACAGAGGAAGGACGAAGTGCCATAACGTGAGTGCCTGGGACAGCAGGAGGACGAGAACGGGCGACACGACGAGCACGAACAGGTGAGGAAGCACGAGTCTCAGGCTCCCGACGCTCAGTCAGGGACTCACTCACCTCAGTGTGAGGAGCAGGAGCAGGGAGCGGGGAGCCAGGCAGTAGGTGTGGCTGAGAGTGGTCTGTCCGTGGACACAGGAGAGGTGGAGTGAGGCCAATGGAAGATGGGAGACTAAGAACCTGGCGAAGGGCCGAGTCAGGCGGTGGCAGGGACGACAGCGGCTGCGGGTAGAAAAACGGTAGGAGCGGCGTAGTACTTGTGCCGTCAGCAGCTCCAATACCTCTAGTACCTCCAGCACCTCTAGTACCTCCAGCTCCAGCGTCTCCAGCACCAGCAGCACCTCTAGCACCTCCAGCACCAGTAGTACCAGCACCTCCAGTGCCAGCAGATCCAGTACCCCCAGCACCTCCAGGAGCACCTCCAGCACTAGATGTGCCTCCAGCACTAGCACACTAGCAGCTCCAGCACCTTCAGCACCAGCAGCACCTCCAGCACCTACAGTCTCAACATTATCTCCAGGACTAGCAGCTCCAGCACCTCCTGCACCAGCAGAACCTCCAAGACTAGCAGCTCCAGCACCTCCAGCACGAGCAGCACCTCCAGCACCAGCAGCTCCAGAAGCTGTATCACCATACCCTCCACCACCAGGACGGCCTCGCTGAACGATCCACTCACGAATCTGCTGCGGCGAGAGCGTATCGAGTCGACTATGCAGCTCCGGCTGTCCAACTCCAAGACTCCAGCAGAAGCACCCACGGCTCTACCACCACTAGGACTCGCAGCACCCCCAGAGTCAGCACCCCAAGTCTCAGCACCCCCAGTCTCATCTCCCCGAGTCTTAGCCCCCCCAATCTCAGCACCCCCATGCTCAGCAACAGGGTCAGCACCCCCAGGACCAGAACCTCCAGAGGCCAGTGTCACCACCCTCACCAGGACCAGAGTCCACAGCAGCAGGCTGCGGAGGCGGCGAAGACGGCCCAGGCGGAAAACCAGGGGGGGGGGGCGTCCAAGCGAGGAGAGCGGCGAGTGGCCGCCGTGTCGTCAGCGGCTGGGTCACACCCCTCAGCTGGGCCAGAGAAGTCAGAAGAGATCTCCAAAGGCTCAACCAAGGGGGGTGGGTCTACCTGAGACACACCTGAGGGAGCAGGACCCTGTGGGGGGAGGGGGTCTACCGTGGGGGGGACTGACACTAGGAAAAGGGGTGGCGGGGGGACCGGGTAGAGTGCGTGCGGGTGGAGCTGGTAGAAGAAGACCGATTCGTCAAAGGTGACGTCCTGGGAGGACAGAACTCGATGCGAGGCAGGGTGGTAAAACTGCCAAGGCGGGGCGTCGGTGGGGAAGCCAAGGAAGACGCAGCGGAGAGTGCGAGGAGAGAGCTTGCTCGTGGTGGTATCGCAGACAAGTGAGAGCGCGCCCCATACCCAAAACGTCGACGCATCGCCAACCTCCCCCGTCCAACGGGGTGTGGGTGAGGTCTCTGGCAAAGAGACACGGGGCCAGAGGTTGAGCTGATGTGCGGCGTATCGGACCGCAAACGGCCACAGAAAATGGGGAGCAGCCGCATGGATCATGGAGGTACGAGCAACCTCCATGATCAAGCCAATGTGACGCTGAGCAATACGATTTTGCTGCGGAGAGGCTGGAAGCATGAACGACTGGACGATGCCCTCGGCTCGACAGAACTCCGCAAGGAGGCCGGAAGAGAACTCACCGCCCCTGTCAGAGTGCAGACGCAGGACTGGAAGGTCCCGCCGAAACCGCTCGCGCAGCTGTTGACGAGAAGTGTGGATCCAGGGGATCAAAACACGCTAACGGCAGCCTTGTTGCGTAAGGGGAAGACGGTGGTGTAACGCGAGTAGTCGTCAATGACCAGCAAAAAGTAACGCTCCTAGTCCGTCCCACGGACGCGGGCGGGGCCCCACACGTCCATGTGGAGAGTCTGTAGAGGAGCACTGGTCGGAGGAAACGAGGAGGAGTGAGGAGCGGCGCGCTGCCGCCCTTTGACGCAGGGAAGGCACGGCGGGGCAGGCGAGCACGGGAGGGGGGGCAGGGACCTGGGAAGACCAGAGACAATGAGACGTGAGTGTATGCTGCGCAGACGCGACTGAGAGGGGTGACCGAGTCGGTGGTGCCAGAGAACAGTCTGGTGGGAGAGTACCCGACACGAGCAAGATGCTGCAAGTTGACCAGACGCAGACACCTGACTCAACGCAGCCACCTGACCTAACGCAGGCACCTGGGCATTCGTAGTGGTCAGTACGTACAGACTGGACCCAGGCCGCCGAGTGAACGTAGCAAGGTTACGGCCAGTCAAGGAGCACGTATAGATTGCCACTCGCTGTCTTCCAGGGATAAAGGTATCAACATATACATCCTGAAGGACTGCGTTGCTCACCAAGTTTGTAGAGAACGAGGGGAGGTGGAGACCTAAAAGAGAGCCGGAGGGGACTGCCGGACACTGGAGGACAGTGGAGGCTCGCGCTATTGGGCCCCCAGTGGGGTCAGCCAGTGAGACTGGGACAGGTGCTGCGAGCGGTGTGACTGTGGTGCAATCACGAAAGAAGCAACGTGACGCGCCTGAGTCAAGTATGAAAGTGTGCAAGGCATTACTAGTGGCGGTAGACGCACTACCACCTAAAGCTGCAGCAGAATCACTAGCACCTAGAGCGGCAACAGACTCACTAGCACCTAGAGAAGTAGCCTCTACAGAACCAGGGAAGCCTCGCTAAACCACTCCCTAAGGACTCATTCCGTGCATGATGTGAGCGTGTTGGATTGAACACCTAGTGGCTTGGGTGCAAGGGGGGGGTGTTGGAGGTTGTGTGAGGCAAAGTTTGCCCCCAACCACCGAATGTGTTGCTTCCGGTTGACTTCACTGCAGGTTTCGTGGAGTTGCATGTTGACTTCGGAAGACCTGCAGATCGGTGCTGTCAGAATATGTTGTATTTGTCTAGCCTGCAGTGGGGTACTCAATAGTGAGTACAGCCCAATCTAGGGTTTCCTATATGTACTCAACTGCTTGCTAGTGGAAATCCTCTCTTTCTCATTTCAAACTTGCAACGGTTTCTTAACATGGAATCAGAGCAGGTCGACCCCCTCGGGTCGATCCTGTGTATGGGCCCACCCAACACTTCCGCTGCTGCTACTTTGTCTATCGCGCGCCTCGGGCGCGCGCTTCCTTCTTGCCTGCCGCGCGCCCATGGCGCGCGGCCATTTTTCTTCCCGCCGCGCGCTCGTGGCGCGCGGCGGTTTTCTGACCGTCGCGCCGCCCTGGGGGCCGCGCGACGCCCTTATCTGCCCGTCGTGCGCCCCGTGGCGTGCGGCGGTGCCCTGCCCGTCGCGCGCCCCGGGGCGCACGGCGGTTTCGTCTCGTGCTCGGCCCCCCC